ATGTGGTATATTTATACAATGGAATACTACTCTGCCATAAAAAAGAATGAAATACTACCATGCACAGCAACATGGATGAACTTAGAGAAGATTATGTTAGGTGAAATAAGCCAGGCACAGAAAGAGAAATACCACATGTCCTCGCTTATATGTAGGAGCTAATTAAATAAATAAATAAACAAAAAAATGACATAACAATCTCAATACACTGAACTTTTTAAGAGAAGAGAACAGAACTGAGTTTGCCTGGGGCAGGAAAGGGGGAGAGGGAGAGGGAAAAGGGAGAAATTAGTAAAAGGCCACAAAAATAGATTACATTGTATAATGATGAATACTCTAATTATCCTGATTTGAACATCACATACTGCACACTGGTATTGATATTCAATGCTGTATTGACATTCAATTGTACAGATATGTACAATCAACTATGTCCCAATAAAAAAATAAAAATAAAAATACTTTGCAAAAAATAAGAGCATATTCGAGCAATGTCTGTCTTTATAGCTTGATGTATATGGCTTTTAAGCTAATTAATGTAGAAATATAGAACCTTCATCTGTTTTATTCTTTCATGGTCCTATGGTGAAGATTTTCTTAGGCTGATAACTCAACAATGTAATTAAAAATAAATTTATGTATTTAAGAATTTAACATAGGTTACATGACAGTTAAGCTTCAAGAAAAACTACTTGATTGACCAAATGCAATGTATGGACCTTGTTTGGATCCCAAATTGAACAATACTTCCATGGGGAAAAAAATTTTTTTTGAGAACTCTTTCCAGAATGTGGAATACTTTCATTTGTCACATGTGAACAAGGATTCTATAAAACTTTTCATTGTTTACCATGTGATTTGGGGACACCTGCTGGCTTATTCTGGCCCCAGGAAAGCCCACAAATAGGATTGTGATTTGATGTCAACTGTGAAAGCCTTCAGACAATTAGTGACATAGTTTCCAGCAGAGTGGTACCTGTGCCTTGAAGCTATAAGTACCTACCTAACTTACCAATTCAGTCAAAAGATTAGTCCTTTGATTCTCTGGCATGTATACAATAGGGAGGGGGTGGATCAATCTGACAGTTCAAACCTCATGTCAATGTCTTTGAATCTCATTTTTTACATTTTAATATTTCTGTGAAATCAGAACATTAACAGTTGATGTAGACATTTAATGTATGCAACTTTAAATTGAAAATGTATTTTACAATTGCTGACACCTTGGAATTGAAGAAATAAGGTAATTATGCTATTTCTTGCTTTGAAAATTACTAGATTGTCTCTTATCTAAATTATGATTAGATTATGTAGCCAATGGCTAGTGTTTCAATGAGGAACAAGAGCACAATACCTCACTTCCTTGGACAAAATTCCCAACATTTTCTATTTCAGTTACACTAACTATCTCTACTG